CGATTCCATCACGGACCAGGAGCTTCAGGAGCTCTCGGAGAAGCTCCACGAGCTGGATCACAACAAAGCCGGGCCCAGCGACATCGCCCTCAACCCCCAGCACCTGGCGAGTCCCGACGAGACCGGCGACAAGCGGGACCGGTCCCCGCAGCCGTGAGTGCCACCAGGGTGGGGACAATACCCCAGAGCCGGCCTGGGGGAGAGGGGGGAGGGATGATGGGAGCCGAAATTCCCATTCCCGATCTCCCCCAGGCTCTACAAATACGTGAACGAGGAGCTTTTCTCCAAACCCACCTACGCCAGCTTCATTAAGCTGCTGGATAATTACCAGAGGGCCACGGGCAGGGAGGAGGAGGTGACGGCCGAGGAGCTGCGGGAGCAGGATCGTTTCCTCGAGGAGGTGATGAAAACGGAGCTGATGGAGAAACTTTTTGGGTTCCTGCAGGGGAAAAGTGAGTTTGGGGGTCAAGGGAAAGGTTGGGATTCCAAAGGGAAGCCACGGCAGGGCAGGGGTGGGGGATGGAATTATTTGGGATGGGAATGGAATTATTTGGGATGGGAATGGAATGATCTGGGATGGGAATGGAATGATCTGGGATTGAAATTTATCTGGGGTGGGAATGGAATGATCTGGGGTGGAAATGAAATGATCTGGGATTGAAATTATCTGGGGTGGGAATGGAATTATTTGGGATGGGAATGGTCTGGGATGGGAATGGAATGATCTGGGATGGGAATGAAATTATCTGGGATTGAAATTGTCTGGGATGGAAATGGAATGATCTGGGATGGGAATGAAATTATCTGGGATTGAAATTATTTGGGATGGGAATGATCTGGGGTGGGAATGAAATGATCTGGGATGGGGTTTCCAGGGCTCTGGAATCCAGCAGGGAGAATTCCCGAAGGGAAGGAGCAGGGAGGGGCTGGGGGAAGCTCAGCTCGGTTCGGTTCAGCTCGGTTCAGTCTCTCACTGTGTCTCACCTTTACCTGCAGATCGTTTCAGCTCCCAGCAGGAATTCCTGCAGGATTTGAAGGAGATTTGGTTCGGGCTCTACTCCCGAGGGGACGGAGAACGAGATTCCAGCGGATTTGAGCACGTGTTCTCAGGTACAGCCCCGCCCCCAGGTGTGCTCAGGTACAGCCCCGCCCCCAGGTGTGCTCAGGTACAGCCCCAGGTGTGCTCAGGTACAGCCCCTCCCCTCCCCGGGCCTCGGGCTCATCCCCAAATCCCCGCTCTGTGTTTTTAGGGGAGGTGAAAAAGGGAAAAGTCTCCGGATTTCACAACTGGATCCGTTTTTACCTCCTGGAAAAGCAGGGGCTCGTCAACTACTACAGCCACAACTTCAACGGGCCGGTGAGAGGAGCGGGGCTGTGGGGCGGGGACACCCCATGGACACCCCATTGATACCCCATGGACACCCCATTGATACCCCATGGACACCCCATTGATACCCCATGGACACCCCATGGACACCCCATTGATACCCCATGGGCACCCCATGGACACCCCATTGACCCCAAAGGGTTCCCAGCCCTGCTGATCCCGAATCCAGTCTGGGTGTGAATTCCCTGACCCCAAATCCTTGCTGGGTGTGGATTCCCATCCCCGCTGACCCCAAATCCCCGCTGACCCCAATTCCCATCCCCACCGACCCCAAATCCCCTCCGACCCCAAATCGAGTCCCCGCTGACCCCAATTCCCCCCCCCGCCGACCCCAAACCCCCGCCCTGCCGACCCCAAATCCCCGCTGACCCCGAGTCCCCGCCGACCCTAAATCCCAGCCCTGGCGACCCCAAATCCCAGCCCCGCAGACCCCAAACCCCTCTGACCCTAAATCCCGTCCCCTCTAACCCCAAATGGAGTCCCCTCTGACCCCAAATCCCCACTGACCCCAAATCCCGTCCCCTCTGACCCCAAATGGGGTCCCCTCTGACCCCAAACCCCCCTGACCCCATTTGGGGTCCCCGCTGGCCCCATTTGGGGTCCCCGCTGACGCCCGCCGTGCCCGCAGTGGGACGCGTTCCCCGACGTGCTGGGGCTGCAGTTCAGCTGGGACGGGTTTTACAAAGAGCTCGGCTCGGCCTTCATCGGCTCCAGCCCCGAGTTCGAGTTCGCTCTCTACTCCCTTTGCTTCCTGGCGCGGCCGGGCCGGGCGTGAGTGCTGACCCCGCGTC